AGTGCGCGTGCGCGACTTCGTCACCGTCCCACCTGCACGTCACGCCCCGCCGTCGCTCGCTCTGGGCCCGCTGGACGCGGCCGCCCGCCCGCCAAGCTACGACCTCAAGCTCGCCACGCGCCGCCTCTCGCGCGCCGTCGCCGCCACGCAGACCGCCCCGGACTGGGACCCGAGCCTGGTCGACTCCTTCCTGGACTGGGACGACGCGCGCCACGACGGTACCTCGCCCCCGGACCATCACGCACAGGACTCGGAGCCCACGGCCGCAGCCGCCCCGCCCCAAGTGGCGCACGACCGCTCGCTCGCGCCGCCCGTCTTCGTCATCGAGGACGCCAGCCACATCGCCGGGCTGCGCGATATCGTTTCACGCGGCGACGCCGTGTCCGAGTCCGCCGCGTCGGGGGGGCGCCGCCGCGCGCTCGTGTCGTCCATTGACGCGCGCCGTGCCTCCACCTCGAGCACGGCATCGTCGTCGTCGTCGTCGGCGACGACTGAGCTGTCCACCACGTCGTCGTGCGACCCGACCGTGGCCACGCCGTCGTCGTCCACGCGTGGCGGCAGCCAACGCACTCACTCCGCCGGGTCCTCGTCGACTGGGTCGGACTCGCCGCGCTCGCACCCTCGCGGCGGCAGGAGTCGCCGGACGCTCATCAACTCCACAGGCTTGTCGCCCGTCAAGTACACCTTCCGCCCGCCCGTGCCGGCCCGGTTGAAGGAGGTGCCATCGCCCGCCGTCACAGAACGCTGCCGCGACAGGCACGAAACCGGCGTGCCGGTCGTCGGCGTCGGCGTCGGCCCAGCCGTGTGGCCGTATCGGACACGCATCCAGGCGGCGGGTGCCGGCGCGTCGGACCGGGGCGTGCCTGCGGGGCCCGTGACGCCGCCGGACATGGTAGCGGCATTTGGGGGGATGGAGGGGCTTTCGAGGATGCCCAACATACCGATGAGCCCACCGTTGTTGGCAATGAGCATTTTCAGAAAGGGGAAGAGAGAGAGTAATGAGAGCGCCAGGTCGAGTGCAGCGTCGACGAGTACTGAGTACTATGAGGACGAGTACACCAAGTTCATCGAAAAGAAGGCAGCTGGAAGCCCGTTGAGGATTCCGGGCAAGCCTTACTTGGCAAAGATGATGAATAATGAGTCGTGGGTTGGAAAGTCGAATCCCATGGAGTGCAACCGCAGCAACTCGACCGTGTCCGTGGCCACGTCAGATGATGAGTATGACCCGAGTCATGAGCGTCTGACGAATATGAAGGGGTGAGGGGTTGAGCCTGGGTTGTCGCTTTTGGGCGCATCGCTTGCTTGGTTGCTCGCTGGCTGCGCTCTTTCTATTATTCTCCGGAGCGACCGTATATTAGTCTTTATTAAAACTGCATATAACAGACTTTTTTCGTGACTGGGGTGAGAGAGACTTTTGCTCTAATCGGGAACTAAAACTAGTTGACGCTGTGCAATGCTACTCTGTAAGAATTAATTGTAGGGAAGAGGTCGAATGCCTTGCGATTGCGTGAGGCTGATTTTCAAAAACCCCCTCCAAAAGACATAAAATGCACTAAAATAGCCAAATTCTCGGAAACGACACAACAAATACCAACAAACACCGCGACCGCGACTGTGTCATCGCGGCTCCCATCCCGCATGTCAGGTTGCAATCGTTAACCCACTTCGCGTCGCGTCCACCCACCATCCCTCAACACAAACCAGCCAAATTCTAACTTGTCGCTTACGCTTCCCTCCCCAGTGGGCAATGTTTCAAACAAGTTGAAAGCCTGCACTGTGACCCACTCCAGTGGACGGAAAGCCGCTGACGGCACTATCATCCCACACTGCGCCTCTCCACGCACCCTCTTTGTCTGCTACTGCAATTCCCCCCGCTATCATCAAGATGATAAACCCCGTGGAGCGCACGGGCGAGTTCCTCGCCGCGCTCGCCTCGCACCACAACGTGTCCGACAAGACCAAGCCTCTCGTGCAACGCCCCGATCCGTCCACGCAGCACGAGTTCACGCAGCTCGCCGTGGAGCTGACGACGCGCATCGCTGAGATGCAGACGTTTGTGTCTAAGTGTCAGCGACGGTATGAAGACTTCTCGCCGCGCGGCATGAAGGATGCGGAGCGCGACGAGATCGACTCGGCGGTGGCGCAGTTTCTGCGTACGGCGATGGCGCAAATCGACGTGCTCAAGGCGGACGCCGTGCGCGCACTCGAGCAACGCACCGGCGGGTCGTTCCCGGCGCATCAGCTGGGCGTGGTCGTCATTTTGAACGAGGACCTGCAGGGCGTGAGCAAGCTTTCGGAGGGACTGCGCGGCGTGCGGATTAGACGGGCGATTTCGGATAAGAGTAAGGTCACGGTCAAGTATAACGCGGACGTGGCGCGGGAGATGGCAGCGGAGAGGAGGGAGCGGGAGAGGCGGGAGGGCGGGACGGAGGAGGACGACGAGGGGTTGGCGGTGCTGGAGCAGGCGTTTGAGCGAGAGAACGAGGCGCTCGTGACAGAGCTGGTGGAGACGCGGGAGCAGGTGCGGGAGGCGGAACGGACGGTGTTTGAGATCGCCAATTTGAATCATGTGTTCGCAACCAAAGTGTTGGAACAGGCGAGGGAGATTGAGACATTGTATGAACTGGCAGTGGAATCAACGGAGAATGTGGAAAGGGGGAATAGAGAACTAAGGAAGATGAAGAGGAGGGGGCCGTTGTTGCAGTATGGGTTTGCGTTGTTTGCAGTGTTGTTGACACTGGCGATTTTGTTTTTGGACTGGATGGCGTCGAGGCGTTCTTTTTTCTTTATATAAACTTGTACTAACGATACGGACATGGTCCAAGCATCGATTGTTGAGGTGTGTTGACAAAGATGTTCGGGAAGAGGGGGGAAGCTGGTCAACTTGACGAGGACGACGCAGGCGATGATGGGGACCTCTTCATTTTTACTCTTCTTTGTCGATTCATGAGAATCGCCATCGGGGAATAGAAATGTAAATTTCACACCACTGGAGGGTACTGTACAACACAGGTACGTATGATGTCAACACCGCTGCCGACGTTGTCGCTCCATCATTGCTCCAAAGTCGACCCATCCCCCATCACTCTTGTCCGACCGTTCCAACCTTGCCCTACTTCACCCCCTCCCCACTGCGCTCTCCACATCACCCTGCACAGTCGCGCGACCCAGCACATGGACCCATCGCAAACCCTCGCCAAAGCAAGGCGCTGGTGAACAGCCACCGCACCGCACCCTGGTGACGAGCACAGCGTGCTCCAGGCCCGCCCGCATCGTCGCAGTCTCCGCCCGAACCTAAGCCATGGTCCTCGCCGTCGGCAATCCCCACCGCGCCTTGCGCAACCGCCTAGGAAATCTCTCCGTGTCCATGCTCAATCTCCTAGCGTCGGACTCCAAACCGCGCCACGTGCACAGCGCGCTCAACGTTCTCATCTCCCGCGTCGTCGTCGGGCTCTTCTCCGCCTCGCTGTTCCTCTTCTTCCTCAGCGGCCTGCGCTCTGGATACTCCCCCTCTGCCCATAGACTCGCACCGATCACCAGGGGCGACGCCGACTCCGCGATCGCGCAGCAGCTCAAGAGCGACTTGTCGGCCGAGGACTACCCGCTACACATGGTGTCGGAGAGTCAGCCGTTCAAGATGTCGGGCTCCGCGGCGAATGCGGGCGACTCGCAGAGTAGCTTGGTCGAGGCTCGCTCGGATAGGGAAGTTACCGTTGCACCAAATATTGACAGCGATGAGGAGCCCGTCGCGAGGATGATCGTCATCACAATGGACAGGGAGGAGTCGTTGGTTCGCCTCCTGGATTCGCTGGTCAAGGCCAATTATGGAGAGGATCACGTCGATTTGGATATTTGGATTGACAGGGCGAATGACAAGCCCATTCATGAAGGCGTGTTACATGCATGCCAAAAGGTCATTTGGAAGCAGGGCACCAAGACGGTGCACAAGCGCGCTGCAAATGCGGGTCTGTATCAGCAGTGGATCTACACATGGAACATCACATCGGAGACGACCGAGTTCGCCGTCATTCTCGAGGACGATCTTGAGGTGTCTCCGGCGTTTTACCAATGGTTGCGTGTCGCCCGCGCGGCGTACGCGCAGGATTCTGATGTTGGTGCTTTTACACTACAGCGATCGACTTTGCGACCGCGCGGAGCGTCGCGGCCACTGGATATTCCAGCCGAGCATCCGGTGTTTAAGTACCGGTTGCTGGGGACATGGGGATTCGCGCCGCAACGGGACACGTGGGTCGAGTTTAGAAAGTGGTTCGAGGAAAAACGAGCGCGAGGGGAGAAGCCGTACGTGGACGGGCTTATTACGACGCAGTGGTATAAATCGCAGGAGAAAGATGGGTTTGCGCCCAACATGTGGAGTCAGTGGTGGATTAAATTTGCGGATGAGAAGGGGTATTTTACGGTGACGGGTCATCTGCCCGACGGGACTTCGCTGGCATCCAATTGGCGGGAATCGGGGTTACATTACTCAAAGAACAAACCCTCGGCGGATTTCCCGGTGTTCCGGGGAGGCGATGACGAGTTCATCATGCCGGACAATCCGATCCTCGTAGATTGGGACGGTCAAATCATTTCCGCGAAGGACTCGGGATCTTCCTGATATGTACAACTGTATAACTGTAACACCTTATTGCCGTAGTCGCTCTCGCACAAAGTAAATATTCTCCTCATGATCACCGCAAGGCATGCATATGAACGAAAGCATGATAATCAGCGTCGAGCAAAGCCGGCATATTTACAAAAATGCTACCAGCCTGAACTTCGCAACCAGCACCAAGCGCACCCAAGGCGACTAGTTAGTCCCAGCGGAAGTCCTGTACAGTCTTGAAAAAGTGGGCGACATTGTCTTCCGGCGTGGATGGATAAACGCCATGCCCCAAGTTACAGATATGCCCCGTCCTGCCCGCCTTCTGAATAGTATCCAAGGTCCTTTCCGCGATGAAGTCCTTGGAGCCCAACAAAACTGCCGGGTCAATATTGCCCTGCACCATGACCTTCGGTCCCAGCCTCTTGCGGGCCTCGGCCATATCGACGGTCCAATCGACCGAGACGATATCGACGCCCGTGGCAGCCATGCGCTCGAGCAACATACCTCCTTGCGAGATGTACATAATGAACGGTACGTCCGGATGCACAGCCTTGACCTTGTCCACAACCCTCTTTTGATAAGGGGCGGCAAACACATCGTAGTCCAGCGGGGACAACTGCCCCGCCCAGGAATCGAACATCTGCACGACCTGGGCGCCAGCGTCGATCTGGAAGATACAATAGGCAGCAATGTTATCTGCAAACTTAGTCAGCAAGGTGTGCAGCAACTGGGGCTCTGTAAAGGCCATCTTCTTAATAGTGGTATAACTCTTGGAAGAGCCGCCCTCGATACAGTATGTAGCCAGGGTATACGGGGCGCCAACAAAGCCGAGGATAGCAGCCTGGCCATCCACCTCCTTCTTGAGGGCCTGCAGCGTCTCCCTAACGAACGGGGCGGTCTTCTCACAATCGAGCTCATGCACGGCGTCGATCTGCTCCTTAGTCCTGAGCGGGGGGTCGATGACCGGGCCGCGATCCGGGATATCGAACGGGACGCCCATGCCGGGGAGCGGGGTGAGGATGTCCGAGAAGAGGATGACGCCGTCCGGGCGGAAGGCGCGCCACGGCTGCAGCGAGATCTCGATTGACAGCTCCGGGTTCTCCGAGCGCTCGCGGAACGACGGGTGGCGCTTCGCCAGCTCCTGGTAGACCTTCATGTAGCGGCCGGCCTGGCGCATCATCCACACGGGCGGGCGCTCGACCTTCTCCCCGCGGCCGGCGCGCACGAGGAGCGGGGCCTCCGTGCCGACCGCGGCCGAGGCGCGCGGCGTGCGGCGCGGCAGAGGCGTGCGTGAGGAGGGCGCCGGCACGGAGCGG